GTATCCCTTTACTTTGGGTGCGTTCTCTTTGAGCAGAGAGCTTGACTCCGTAATTGCGGAGTTTTGCCTTTTCTACCAAGTGTGTTTGGAACAAGTAAGTCCTTCTGTATGGAGGACAGTTGCTTGTCTTCGGTATTTGTTCCAGGAAACTGGAGAGGAGCTAACCTTAGCTTATATGATGAATCTTTATTCTACCAAAATCTTCTGCGAGGGAATAATAAACCTCTGCAAATGTGGCTACCATGCTTTGTTGTCTAGCATGGATGATGACAATGACCGTGGGTGGATGGAACGGTACATTGTAGTTGCCACTAACGATATCATTCCGACAACGGCTCCATCCTTTCCGCCACTTGGAACCACACTCGTAAGCTCTTTATTTAGTATTTCCTTTTACTAAATATTTTTCTATAGCCGTGTTGATCCTCCATCCTTCATTTGTTTCAGCAACTCGATGGATCCCATCAGTGATTGAAGCTTTGGACTGGTGGGTACAAAAGATCTTGGAAGTTACAACGCCCGAGACTCACTTGTGAAAGAACTGGCCCCTAAGGTAGAAGGCCAAGAATCATGGTAACTCAAACACACCTTGTTTCAATTTTTTCATGTGAAGAACTTGATTGATCCCTTCTATCGTGTCTATGAAATTAGATCTACCCGCTGGCTCTGTTGTTGTTCCCGGGGAAGATTTCTTGGCTAATCTTGTTGATGTAGCGAGGCTTCTTCAGGAGGCTCTTACTCGAATAGGTAGCTTCGGGCCTGCTTAGAGAACAAATGTTTCTTTACGGAGTCCCCGGCAAGAAGACAAACAACCAAAGATAAGACGCTCCTCTGTAGCTGGGGAAAATAATAAGAAGGCGAGGATCGATGCCCCCGAGTTATCTCCGGTAGCGACAGTGACTGGGCCTTCTTCTGGGCAGGTCATAGACACCATGACGATTGACAATGATGAAGAAGCTAGTGATGAGGGAGTTTCTCTACATAGAAGATGACGATCCTCATCATCTTAACAGGATGCTCGACCTGTTGAGAGAATTACACCAACCGAGGACGATGCCTCGGCACTTTGGGGAGAGTTTGATTTGGTAGATAATGTCAACACCGGCTTTTGGGCCCTAATTATTGTGTCTGGTACAGCGGGCCCGAGTATTGGGTCTCTACCGTATTTGGTTGGAGAGCATCCAACAACCAGCACTATATTTGATGCAGCTATTTCTCACTCTACAACTCCATCAGCTCCATCTCCATCTTCGCCAACACCAGCAACTGCTACATCACTCCCATCTCCATCCACTCTTCCACTAGCAATTGCTACATCACCTCCACCGGCCGCACCTGACCATGAAGAAGGTGTTCCTCTTCCACAGTCCCCAGTTCATGGGAATTTAGGGCAAAATTATGCTTCCCCTATGAAGATCCACAAAGGAGGCGAAATGTTACTCTTTCGGTCTCTATCAGATGCAACTTGCCATCCCGGTCGGTCGAGCTTGCTAATTATCTGAATTTTTTGGCTTCAGAGAAAGAGTGGGGAAAGTTTCATGCACTCTTGGGAGAGTGTTTGTTGAACAATACTATGCACAATGCCGCAGTGGTACGTTTCTTTCTTCCTTTAATACTTCTTCTATTTTCGGGTGTGATCATATCCTAAATTTTACCCTTCTTACTTTGTAGGCCAACTTTCTTACTTCCGAGGGCCTTCAGAGGTTGATTCATAAAAATGAAGAGATTACATCTGCACGGGATCAGCTTTTGGCAGAGTAGGAGCAACATGTCACTCGCCTTTCGAAACTGAAAGCCAAAGCTGTTGAGGTTGTTGTATTGGAAGCTCGTTTGCGGCAAAGTGAGCAAGAAGTGGTAATCCATAGCCAAGAAGTTAGCCCGCTGAGGATTAGATTTAACTAATCCAGGGCCAAATGGGTTGAATTCCATAACTCCGTTCTTGCTGCAACCGAACGCGAGGCTGCCTCCGCTGAAAGAGTGATCAACTTAGAGGCAGCCTTGAACTCCAAAATTAAAGAGCTTGCTTCTATAGGGGCGAAACACGCCCAACTGGAAGAGAAGTACAGAAAAACTATCGAGCATAATGGGCTTTTTATTTCCAATGTCCGCGACTTTGATGTTAGCCTCAAATCTGCTAGGTCTGCCCGAGAAAACCTTTCTGCCGAGGTAGCCCAACTCAAAGAAGAACTCAAGCGTCGAACGGCTTCCCTCATTGTTGAGAAACTTTACGCTATGTACAGCATGAGGAGAAAAACCTTGGAAGAGTCCAAAGCTGGTGTCATTGATTTTGATGCCAAAATTGCTAAGTCCCGCGAGCTTGAGTTAGCTGCTAAAAGTGGACTCCAAGCGAGGTCTAATGCACCTGGTCCTTCTAGTTCCGGTTCCGAGTTCTCGGTAACAGAAAAGTAATCGGAGGATGATGATGCTGAAGGCCAAACTTGTGAAAATGTTGATCCATAGGTGAGTTCATCTACTTCTTCCGGTGGCGCGGACACTTCTCTTTCTCCTGGTTCCGGAGATACTGCAGTTTAGCTTTTCTTGTCTTTTTCCAATTCTCGTACATGTGCCATTTTAACATGTTTTTTGTAAATAAAAACATCTTTCACTAAAGTATTGTTTAAGTCTTCTTTTCATTAGAATATTCATGCAAGCCTTTAATCTTTGCATTTTCTTACTTTTAAGAATTTTGCGCAAACCTTTTTGCGTCTTATTATGTGAAACTTTGGGTGTATTCTCCCCGAAAATATTTTTGATTCCGGACATAAATTCTTCTGTAACCAATCCTTTAACGTGAGAGTTTTTATAAAAGAGGATCCTCTTGTGTTTACGGTGCTCTTGAAGAGGACGTCTCATGTCCATTACAGCACTAGTATTTGAAGTACTTGTTTAACTTTTAAATGACAAAGTTAATTTATCGTTCGGACAAGAAACAATATAAAAACAAAAGGATTTCATTTATTCCTTTTATTTTCAAAAAATACATAAGCATTTGCTAGGCTGAAAAGAAATTGTCATTACTTGTAGTTAACTTGTACAAAAGTATTTGCTATGCTGAAAAGAAATTGTCATTATTTGTGGCTAACTTGTACAACTTGCCCCTCTCTCCCCAAGTGTTCGAAAGCGAAGAGTGCGAATTGGAACACTGGAATTCTTGTATCTTCGAAGATTTCACTAATGCATTGCTAGATAATCCTTAACTTGGAAACATACTTTACTTCCCCTTAGGAATTTATGCTATCGAGCGAAGGACTATCTAACAACCTTCTAGTGGTTTGTGCTCATGAACGATCGGGTAACCTTTGCTCATTAGCAAACTTAACTTCCCGGTGGGAATTTGCTATAGAGCAAAAGATTATCTAACCATCCCCGAGTGGATCTCTGTTTGTGTGCCTTGCTATTAAAGGTCTTATTACTTCTTTCTTCGTAGTATACTTTCTGTTGCTGCCTTGTTAAAAATCTTGCCAAAAAAATTTAATTGGGAAAAACTTAACTTCCCGGTGGGAATTTGCTATAGAGCAAAAGATTATCTAACCATATCCGAGTGGATCTCTGTTTGTGTGCCTTACTATTAAAGGTCTTATTGTTGCTTTCTTCGTAGTATGCTTTCTGTTGCTGCCTCGTTAAAAATCTTGCCAAAAAAATTCAATTGGGACAAAAATTGAACGAAGGGAAAAAGAGTGCAACACATACTTTCTAATCGGATAATGTTCATCAGCAATAATATCTTTTGAGGTGTGCCACATTCCAATTGTTGGGCAACGTTTCTCCATTTTGCTTTTCCAACTCGTATGAACCTTTTCTGGTGATAGCTGAAATCCGGTAGGGACCTTTCCACGTCGGACCTAGATTTCCCGCGTTGAGCTCCCGGGTGTTTTGAGTTACTTTTCTTAGGACCAAGTCTCCTACTTTGAAATAGTGGAGGTTGGCTCTTCGATTATAGTACTGCTTCATTCTCTGCTTTTGAGCTACCATTCTTACATGCGCCAAGTCCCTGCGTTCATCGAGCAGTTCCAAGTTGACTAGCATTGCTTCGTTGTTTGATTCTTCATCTGCCTGAAAATATCTCAAGGTGAGTTCCCCTACTTTCACCGGGATTAAATCTTCTGCACCGTACACGAGGGGAAAAGAGGTTTTCCCTATGCTCGACTTGGCCGTAGTTCGGTATGCCCATAGAACTCCGAGTAATTCCTCGAGCCAATTTCCTTTAGCCGTCTCCAACCTTTTCTTGAGGTTTTGAATAATCACTTTGTGCATCGACTCCACTTGACCGTTTGCGCTCGGATGGTATGGTTGTAGACATGTAATGTTTTACCCTCCGTGAAACTTTATACATTTTAGTGCTTAAATATTTATTTCAGGTATAATATTGTCATTTTGACTACCTTTGAACTTTTTGCATTATTTTCTATTTAAATAAAAACTACAAAAATATTTTTTATTTATTCTAGCTAATTGGTATTTTATTTAGTTACTTTTAGTTATCTTATTTCTGGTAAAAATTAAAATCGGCAAAAAATAGTCACATGAAAATTAGGATTTTAATTTCTTCTTTCTCATTCTTAGCACGATGATTTTTCAAAAGAAATAGAAAAATACATTTTTTTCTTGGTTTTATCTAATATTAGGAAGTTTAGTTTTGTGAAACAATTTTAAAAAAATTATAGTTAGTTATACTGTTTTATGGTAAGTTATTTTAGATGTTGCTTTTTGCAAATCTTCTATCTTTAATAAATGAAATGAATAGAAAAGATAAGAAGAAGATTCCATTTTTATCATATTTTAACAAATTCTCAATTGCACGCACGTAACAAGTGGACAAAGTGCCTTCACCTTTTTATTTTTGAATTGATTCTTGAGGGACGATCTTATCATTTTAGAGTGGCCTTTTTCATTGTTGGGTGGGAACCACACACTTTCTTCACACATTTTTCTTTCTTTCTTGACCAAGCACTTCACATAGAAAAAATATATATACTCATTATTCATTAAAGGAGGGGACAATAGAGAGAAAGAGAACCCGAACAGATTCCTTCTTTTTTGGGGGGCGAAGAGCTCTTTCGGCTTCTGCTTTACTTTCTTTTTCACAAGAATAGACCCACAATTTTCTCCTCCATGGTTGCTACTTAACCACCATTAGTACACCACCTAAACTCCATGGAAATAGGACCCTTTTACACCTGAAACCAAGCCCGAAACCAATTGAGAACCAGTCCAAATAGCCACCATCTTCTCCTTCCGAAATCACCTCTAAACCCTCCTTAAAATCGCCCAAACATCACCAAAAACCAGATAGAATTTCCAGTTCAAAAAACGCAATAACACGGCCTCGAGAACGCTGTAAAATCAGCTCCAAAAACGTGAAAAAGCATAGCTCAAATTCAGCTGTAAATCAGTCCAAAACCCAACGCCAATCATACCTTAAACCACCACAAAGAGAGTCGAGTTTGAGTTTGCCGACACTGTTTTCCGACGTGGTCGCGGGTGTTAGGTCCGTTTGTTGAGTTGCAGAAACTTTAAAGTTGGGACGTAATCAATAAAGGTCCAATTCTTACTTGATACTCCTCTAAGTTTCAAGTTTGATTTTGATGGTATGATTCTGAGGATGCTTCCGATGAGTGATATTTAGTTTAATTGATATTTGATTATTGTGACTCAATGTTTTGCCTTAATGAATATTCTGGAATCTTGTGGTTTAATTTAATTTAATTTGATTTGGATGCCACCTAGTTAAAGAGCTCGTAGACTTACTGGTTGATCTATATATGTTGCTCTGTTTAGCATAATTGATCCTTCATTGGTTGATTGGTGGAAGAGAATGATGGAAAATTTAGGTGAAAATATAGTAATTTTAAGTCTTTTGTTAATTTGTTTAAAGATTCATGCATTATTTTACTAATGAATTTGTAGTTTTCAAATTGTAGCTACTGACTTGTGTGAAGGAAAATCTTTTTTAGCTATTAGGAATATTTTAAGCACATAAATTATTAGTTGGGCCGTTGGATGCCAATTATAAGTATAAAAATGGGGTATTATCACTTTTAGGGCGCTCCAGAAACTATTTACATTTGGTAGTCAGAAAAGTGTATAAAACTTATATAATTTTTGTATATAACATACAAAATATATATATATATATATATATATAAAATATATATATTTATATATATATATATAAAATATATAATTTTTATACATTTTTTCGGCTATTACTTTTATAACGGCTGTCCAGTGTCATTTTCCCCATAAAAATCAAATTTTCTTTTTACCTTAAAAATGTCTGCTTGGTTTTGAAAGCATATGGACCAGACAAGCTTAATCCACTAAGCCCAACGATTTTAGCCTAGTTCCAAAGATAGATTAGTAAGTTGTAAACATCTATAAGTGTGAATAACTTATCAATACATTGAATAGCTAAAATATTTCTTGACTTCCAAATAATTTCCTCTCCATAAGTCATGATATCACATTAATCTCAAACAAGCTCTAGGAAAATTAATCGACCTGTGAATATTCCTAGAATGCTTTAGGCACGCTTTTAATTTACTATCGTGATTATGTATACGTTCGCGTAACATGATTATTGATCCCAAAAATAAATCAAGGTACGCGTTCGCGCGACTTTGGCCGAATAATCTTAGCAATTAATAAAGCGTGATAAATTGTGTACATGTACGCGTGACATAATTTTAGCGCACTGAACAAACAGATTTACGCACATGTAATCGATTTCAAAGATAAATCCATAACGCCATAATTAAAAGCGCTAAAAGGCAAAATGTACATAGGTTCTAAAAATGAGTAATTAAATAATTAATTGAGCCAGGTATGATTAAAAGAAACCGTGCTAAAACCACGGAATCCGGGAGTGCCTCAAACCTTCTCCGAGGTTAACAGAATCCCTTACCCTGTCTTCTGGTTTCGCGGACTTAACACATAGTCAATTTTCTCGATTTTGGATTTTAAAATAAATCGGTGACTTGGGACACCATATTAATTATCCAAGGTGGCGACTCTAATTAAATAAATAATCTCATTTCGATTAATGTCACTTTAATTGAAAAAACTCCCCTATCCCTCGGAACAAAGGAGGTGTGACAACTCTGGCGACTCTGCTGGGGAAAAATGGTGAAGATGTGATCCTCTTTATTTTTAAATCTTGGAGGAACTTTGTAATTTTTGCGCCGATAAACTGTGGTTTAACGAACCGACTGGTCGTTTTGACCTCTAACGCATCGTTCAATGGTGTTAGGCCTTAGGTAGCTTCACTTCATGTTTTATGACTTGTACGTGCGGTCGAAATTATATTTCGGGAAGTTCAGAGTTGATTCGGATGGAAAATTCTAATTTTAGACGCTTTAAGTTAGAAGAATGGATTAAGATTTGACTTTTGAGTAAACTACCTCGGAATCGAGATTTGAAGGTTCAAATAGGTTCGTATGATAATTTCGGGCTTGGACGTATGTTTGAGTTGAGTATCAGGTGGTCCGAGAGCATTTCGGCGCCTATTATGGCAGGATGGCATTTTGGAAGTTTAAGAAATTCTTAAGTTTGATTTGAAATGAATTTTGGTTCTATCGATGTCCGTTCAAAGTTCCGAGCCTTGGAATAGGTTCGTATCATGATTTGTGACTTGAATACAAACTTTGGTGTCATCTCGGGATGTTTAAGTGTGATTCGGACGCGTTCGGCGAAGTTTGAATGCTTGAAAGATTAAACAAAGGTTTCAGTCATCGATTCTTAATTTTGATGTTGTTCAACGTGATTTGATGCTTCGACTAAATTCGTATCATGATTTGGGATGTATTGGTATGTTTGGATGGGGTCCCGGGGGCCTTGGGTTTGAAACGGATTAAAATCGGATTGAAATTTGGATTTGAGGAAAAGCAAGAACCTGTTGAAATCTTGTGCCATCGCACCTGCAGTGGTTTGGTCGCAGGTGCGGATACGCATGCGCGATGGAGGTTTCCACAGAAGCGAAAGAGGCCAGCTGGGCCAAGGGTCGTAAGTGCGGAGTTTGGGCGCGCAGATGCTCATCCGCAGAAAAGGAGGAGGAACCGCAGATGCGGAATCTGAGCCTTTGATGCTGGACTGCAGGAGCGGTCAGTGCCTCGCAGAAGCAAGACCGAAGGGGCGGTCAGTGCTCCGTAGAAGTGAGACCGCAGGAGCGTATTTGTGTCTGCAGAAGCAGACCTGGCTGGGCGTAGTGGGAACCGCACCTGCGATGGGAGTTTCTGCAGCTGCGGAACCGCAGAAGCGGCTACTGTTCCGCAGGTGCGAGGCACCACTGGGCAGACTTGGTTTTATACGGGATTTGGCCCATTTTCTTTCATTCTCTCTTGGCTTGGGCGATTTTTAGACAGCTTCAAGGGAAGATTTTCATCAACCATTGCAAGGTAAGTAATTCTCACCTAATGATAGTGAAATAGATGGATTATATGTGGATTTTAACATAAAAAATTATGGTAATTGTGGGATTTTAAGAGAAAACCTAAAAATTGGTATTTTTGGATTTTTACCACTAAATTGGACATGGAATTAGGATTAAATTATATATTTGAGTTCGTAATATTATGGGTAATATTTATCTTCGAAAAATTTTAGAATCTGGGCATGTGAGCCCGAGGGTTGATTTTATTGACTTTTCAAGCAGAGTTGAGAATTATTATAAATTGTTAAATTGTAAGCATTGGGGTATATTTTGATATATTTGCACGTTGATTGACCAGTTTCAGAATATTTGGCTTGGAGTTGAGTGTTAGAGTGGCGTTGGAGCCGGTTATGGAACTTCGGAGCGAAGTAAGTTTCATGTCTAACTTTGTGAGGGGGAAACTACCCCCTAGGTGATGTAATTATTATGTGCTAATAGTTGTGGGTGCCACGTACGTATGAGGTGACGAGAGTCCGTACGTAGCTAAAGCATGTTTATGTTCGGATAAATTTAAGACTTTACCATGTAATATTTGAAATACTTGAATCTATCCCACTGGCTTAATTAATTGAAATTATAATTGAATTGATTTAGAAATACATGCATATATGTTAGGCCGAGCCTTATCACCTTAGGTTATTTTCTAGTTATTTGAGAAACGGCAATGGATTATATTCACCCTGTACTCATGTACTGTATTGTAAGCATGTGTCTCGTGATTCGATAACTTCCTTCCTTTCTTGTGGAGCGGGACGAACGCCTCGACAGTATAATAGATGCATCTATGGTTCATGTCCCTCGACCCTCAACAGTATACACATTATTTTGGATTGGGCTGAACGACTTCAGCATAATCGTGCGTTATATCACTGGTAGTCCGAACATTCACGAGATTATCTTTTCTATTGATGCTCGATATTCTATATGGTGTTCCTTATTCATTGATATTGGCACTTGACATTTTCTGAGTCGTTAAGGTAGAATACAAGATTGAAAAATTCATATTTTAAAGTAAATATCTGGAAGATTATGTAACTTACAGATTTACCCCGTTATCATTGTGCACTCCCTATCTGTTATGAATTTTTATATTATTTTATTGGACCTCTAGTAAGTGTCAATGTCGACCCATCGTCACTACTTATTCGGAGTTAGGCTAGATACTTACTAGATACACGTTGATTTACGTACTCATGCTGCACTTCTACACTAAATGTGCAGGATATGACATATTCATTTGGTGATCATCTTGACGCGTAGGCGCACTTGTTGAGGAGACTTTATGTGAGCTACATTCCAGGATACGCATCGCAGTCCACCGAATTTCCATCGTACTATTTATTTTATGCTATCTTATTTACATTCGGGGCAGATGTTGTATTATTATTGTACTTCTTAGAAAATGCTCATGCACTTGTGATACCGGGTTTTGGGATTATACTAGCTGATGCTTATGGTTTCGTATATTATTAATACCTTTCAAATCTTTTATAAACTACAAAGGTTGTACGTTCCCGCAGATTTAAAAGTGTAAAACTCTTTCCTTATTAAAATCTATGATTTCGGAAGTAATAAAATGAGTAATTAAATTGATAAATCACTGTTGGCTTACCTGACGGTGACGTTAGGTGCCATCACGACCTATAGTGGATTTTGGGTATTGACATATGACCCATTGTCGCATGCTATCTCTTCTGATATTCCGAACCTGCAAATTATACTTTCCCACAAGAAATCCACCACACCGCGCTCTCCGATCTTTTGATAAGGACCTGCTTCCACCCACTTAAAAAATAGTCAGTCAAAATTAAAAGAAATCTTACCTTTCCGGGAGTCGGTGGCAGTGGTCCGACGATGTCCATCCTCCATTCATGAACGGCCACGGAGATAGAACCGCAGGTAAAGGTTATGTCGGTTGATGCACCAGTGGTGCATGGCATCTACACTTATCACACTTTTGTGCGAAGTCTTTGGCATCTTGTTCCATGCGGAGCCAGTAATATCTTGCCCTTACCAACTTCAGCACTAAGGAATCTGTGCCCGAGTGGTTATCGCATTGTCACACCCCGAAATCGGGGAGCGCGCCTGACGCTCAACCGAGTGAACCCAGCCGAGCAAGCCTATTATATTTTCTTCTACCCAAACTCATCTATGAAAAAAGAGGAGATGTACTCCATTAATCAAACACTGAAAAGATTTCATTAACAACTCCCATTTCATTTTCATTAGCAGCTTCATTTATAACTTTCAAATTATTACAAATTTATAGATATAATGAAAAACATGTTTGCCAAATACCCGCATTTCTAGTTCAACTCCCAACATCAAACACCACCCACAACCTATTTACGGGAGCCTCTAAGTACAATAGAAGAGTAGTATGGAAGTGCCGGCAACATGGCCTCGGCTATACCTTAAAACAAAATATACAACTCCAGTGACATCAGGCCCGAAATAGAGTAGGGCTCACCAAAACCTGCTGAATAGAGAGTGACTGCTAACGAGGATCAAAGTTGCCCGCTGATGAACCACCTGCATCTGTTAAAGATGCAGCGCCCCCGGCAAAGGGGACATTACAACATATAGAATAGTACTAGTATGTAAAGCTAACTATCCTCTTTCAAAATAGAATGCCACTATAAGAAAGGGAAAACCATGGAAACAACAATCAACAATCAATGATATTCAAATGCCAAGTTAAAACATAATAATTCCCAAAATATGAAGATAACACTGTGAAGTGATAAGCAAAATATGATAATAATATTATTTTTGGTTGGGAGATCTTTAGCACCGATATACCACTATTCACAATACCAATACCATCATACTTTTAACATGGAGTCCGATCACGACCCGATCGGCTAGGCCATCTCATCTGAGACATCAACCACAATCACAATTTCAATTACAATTTCCATCACAATCACCACCATGTGTGTGGCATGGTGTCCGATCATGACTCAATCGGCTAGGGCAACTCATCCGAGACATCAACCACAATCACAATTTCAATTACAATTTCCAGCCCAATCACCACCATGTGTGTGTCATGGTGTCCGATCATGACCCGATCGGCTAAGCCATCTCACCACAATGCCGTGTGGATCGACATCATCCATTTCTATCAATCATCTCATCCCAATTAAAGGGAATAATTTTATCACACCAATCTCATCCCAAATAAGGGGAATAATTACAATCCACTCCTACACCGACACGTTTAGTTTCGGGGTTAAGTTATTTCAACCTACCCTTCCTTGGTTACTATCGATACTCACAAAAATATTATTGATATGCTTACAAAGGAAACAACAATACAAATGCATTTACCTCATAACCTTTTATACCGTATATAGCTTCATTGGCACTTTCAATAACTTTCAACATCATTATTTCATTGGCTCTCTTGGCAATACATATAATTCTTTATTCATGGTACAATGGTCGTATTTCATATTCCACACTTTCATTTCTTTACTTTCATGGATCATCATCATACATATCAACAAATAGAATATTCCGGAAATCACAACTTTAGGTTCATTAGTAATGAAGGCTTTAAAAATGATGGATTTCTTTCCAAGAAATTGAGTAAAATGATTGGCAATTGAAACACAAGTGAAAATCATAAACAAGTAACACATCATTTATTCTTGAAATACTTTTCCCCAAAAAGGGCAATACAAAATTTCAACTCACGAATATGTAATAACACAAAACACATTGAAACTACTTACAAAGCATAGAGTTAGTTAAAACAGCCACATATGGGCATCACTTGAGTTCATAAGCTTTTAAGCAATTCTATTTTCGAAATCATTTTTAAAAAGTTGAGTCGAGGCTCATTTCATACTTTCTCACATCATCTTAATTCATTGGCACCACTAGCCACAAGTATAATTTTTATTCTTGGCACGGTGGCCATAATTTATATCACTGACTCACTTCTTTCACTTTCGAGCATCTTTATACATTATCAACAACAAGGCATTTCCAATCAAGACTTTAAGTATACATATCAGCAATTAAGAGTCTTAAGCACATCGAGTTTTTCTCCCATAATTTGGCATGATAACTTTCATTTGAATCACTACTCTCAAGTCCATAACATTTTAATACACATGTCATTCCTGAACACATTCCTGAAGGATAACATAATGAGATAGGAACACTCGGAACACATTTTGAATACATAATTCTCGACACTTTGCTTACTCAGGACAATCGAATTTATAGGGAACAACTCAAAATATGAGGATAAGGAACTTGAGCCAACCATACTTGAAACTTACAGGAACATCATGGAATTCAATTCTAAGAGAGTAGTTTAGCCAACATACCTCGCTTTGAGCTTTCTTTTAATTACTACAACATTCCAGAAATTCTAGCAATCTCAATCTATTTTGAGACATATCAAAATTGAACACAAATTAGGAAGATATTCATGGTTTCAGCTCATTTGAGTATTTTATCAAACATTAGGTGTGCAAATTTGGCTACAAGGTTCTTCTACAAGATTTCCTTCATTCCACAACCCAATCTTCACTTATTTATGCTCAACAATCTTCCCACAAACCTTATTGGTACATACATGTATACATAATACTCTCACACCCAAGAATCATACTTCTCATGACCTACTTTTAATCCAAATCCCGAAATTTAGGGCTAGAGAGTAGAATCTTACCTATTAGATGAAGATCTTGTGAAATCTTCAAGCCTTTAGCAAGAATTGATGAACAAAATAGCTAGGTCTTCTATTTCTCTCTCTAAGATAGCTCTCTCCTCTCTCTAAAAAATCACATTTTACCTTCTAAAATGACCCCCTAAGGCCTTATATCAAAATTGGATCGGATATAAAAATTTCCAAAAATAAACCCCGAAATCAATTATGTGGTGCAATTTTGCTATAGCATAATCGTTTTGTGGGCAACAGAATTGATTATGTGGGCAGTATAATCAATTATGCGATAGCATAATAGTTTTTTTAAAATTTGTCCGTCTCTGCTCCACTTTGCGATGCTTATGCGGTCCGCGGAACCGTTTTGCGGTCGCGAAATTGACCGCAGAGCCAGCTTTTGGGAATTTATTCATAACTTCTTGTATGAGTGTCTAAATGACAAACGTTTTGAAGCGTTAGAAACTAGACTGGAAGATATTTCATTTGATAGTTTCTCCATCACATAACCCCTTATTTATACGTATATATTCTCGTCCAAAGTTTGGTCTTGTGCATACTCATTTGGAATTTTAGTCAATCATGTAATTTCTAACTTGACTTGGACTTAGGGCTCTCCTTATACCCCCACATCACTTATAATATCACTCGTACACTTATTATCATATCCAATTGATATCCATTATATTAATAATCCTCATCTGTACACAAAATAATATAATTAGCGTACATCAACTTTCATAATAGCACTTAAGTACTTCAAAATTTTCCGGGGTGTTACATTATCTCCCACTTAAGAACATTCATCCTGGAATGTTTTACAAGTCACTTCTAATAATATAGTTACCATTCTTTTACCTCCAACCATTATACATAGGCTCTTATGACTACATGGGTCTTATACTTCCTTTCCAAAATCTCAACTTACTTATGGCCCTTAAAATTTGGCTATCTTTACAAATTCTTAAATATTTCGACAGAGTTTTTCCTGTAACTGGGCCTATCCACATGTCAGATAATCACCAAAATCAACCTATCAACACATCCACAACTTGAAAAGGCATCACAATGTATATCAACATCACTAATCTCATCATTACATGCATTATATTATCAAGAGTGATATCTGGACATGAGCTGCTCATATTTAAATCATAACACATAGAAAGTACCTTTCAAATCACAATCATTTGACTATACACTCAAGTGAGAACATTTTATTTCCTTAACACTTTTGGCCCTCAAGGTGGCCTCCTCGACTTACAGATTTTTCCGTAACACATTAACAGAGGCAATCTCAACTCCCGGACTTTTCTAACAAGGATAGCAAATTGTTGCTCCTCATAACCCAGTTATCCATTAACTTCACCTTCTTAGACATAAACACATGAAACACCAGGTACACGGAGAACAATAATAGGGAAACATCATACTCATAGTTTGGCCTATTTCCTTCAAGATTTTATAAGGCCTGATGTGACTACACATACTTTATCTTTATTAACAATTCACATAGCATCCTCATGGAGAAAATATTGAGAATAACCCATTCACTTTCTTCAACTATAAATCTCTATGCCGAACACCCAAACTAAACCTTTGGCGACCTCCAACAATTAGTCAAAGATGTGATAGCTAGAATATGACCATAAAATTTCCTATCCAATATATTTGATCATGGGATGACGCTTCTTCTTTGACATGTGACATATGGGAGGCATAATCGGAAGGATAAAGACATTAGCATCAGTTATGCTTGGAAGACTATGAGTCATAAAAAGGACA